GAATAAAAATTAGAAACAACAGAAAGAGGAAAGCGATGATTCCACTTAAGCAACTGGAATGAGACATTATAATTGCACATTAAATACCTGAGTCTGAACTTTCTGCAAGTGAAGTTAACACTCTGGATTATAAAATTCTCAGTGACCAGTTAAAGAAAGTTTATAAGTAATTTCTTTAAAGATACACATTTTTCTATTTCAGAATCCTTGGTGAATTCAAGGGCCATTGAGTGTAGCCTTAACCATACCAATTAGACTTGGAAAAGAGCATTCTATTATTCTTTGCATAATAATCAATAGAAGGCTAAGGTAAGTTGAAGAACAATTAGAAATTTCTCACCCCAACCCCCTCATAATGTCCATATCTTTGGGCTTTTCCCTGGATACTACCTCAGCAACAAACTGCTTTGCAAATCAAATTACAAGGATTAAAAAGTAAATCAGAATGAACACACTTTTACATATTTTTCTACAGACTCTGGCATTTGCGTGCAGGACAGAGTCAGTTGCTGGTACTGGAGGAAGAGAGAAACAATAGCAGAAATAAACAATAGATTCCAATGGTTTAAACTCTTGTGTGTTTTGGATCCTTGGAAAAGGATCTGCTGGCTAGGGCTTCTGCTAATAAAACTGAAAAAATATATATTGCTAAAGTAATGGCAGTGCAACTAAGCAAATATAGAGTCTATGTGCACTTTGGCTGCCAGATTCAAGGATTTAGAATGGGGGAGGAGAGGAGGGTGCTTGATGCTTTCAATATTTTTTGTTAGAAATCAAGTCATAAAACTCAAGATCAATGAGATCCTTTCTTCAGAAAATGTGCAGAACCGACTGAAAGCTAAACTTAAGAAATTCTCATTAGTAATACAATTCAGCAAATTATTGTTCCATCTTGCCTTCTTTTCCTCAAATTTCATATTTTTGAAATAAACATTTCTGGATCCTATAGTATCATTTCTGAATCACTGATTCTGAGCAACATAACAGCATTTATATTTTCATTCAGGGTTTTAGAGAATATTTTGAAAAGAGAGAAAAAGCAGAGACAATTGGAATTTGCTTCACTTCACACCTTCAGTGACTTACAAATGGTAATTTCAAATGGTTTCATCTGTGAGAAAATAATTTATTTTTCTAGGATCCACTAAATGTTGCACACCTTGAATATTTCCCTTTACTTTTTGAAATAATTAAAGTAATCCAAAATTGTTCTACAAACCAGACTCTATGCTTCATTTTTGGCCACTGCTTTTGAACAGTTTGTTTACCCTGCCACTACGTGTTGAAAGCCTAGGGGAACTGGGCCCTTGCAGTCCCACCGAGGCCACATTTCCAACCACTCTGAATGTATTTCAGTTGCGTTTTCAGAACTGTGTTAGTCTATCTCAAACGGAGTGCCTGAATAATTCTGCCTCGGTTCTAATTTGGCAGCCCACCAATTAGCCTAAATTCCTCTGGGGAATACTAGTAACCTTGTGCTTCTCAGGTAATGTTTAAGGTCACCAACATTGCTTTCACATTATGCTTTTCATTTGAAAATGGAATGTATGCATATTTTATACAATTTGCTCTGAGGACCAAAAATTTGGAGATTTGGGCCACAAGCATTGTTCTCTTCAGTTCCCCCTTAGGGATCACCATTGTGAGCCCTGGCCATAGGGTGGCAGGCTAAAGGTGCAGAGTCCCTGGGCCAGAGGCCCAGAGGTCAGCTGAGAGGCTGTCAAGTGTTAGCTCTTGGCATCTCATTTCTGATAGAAATCAGCCAACTCCCCGCCTACTCCCCTCCTCCACTTGTGTTCTCCTCCCTCCCCCCCAATGACTGGGGTAGGGGAGCTCTGTGGCCAGGCGAAGGTCTGCTGTCCAAGGGAAGCTGAGACTGCGGCTGGGCCTGTCCCTCCCCACTGGCCCAAGTTCCCATTCATCACTTCAAAACGTGGGCCCACGGAGCGTGCAAGAGCCTCGCTCCCTGCGTTCTGCTCGAGGTCCCCACAGAAAACCCCTATGATCCCAGCCCCTCTTTTACAACCCTCCACCCGGTGAGCTCTCCTCCCAGATTCCACAGCTCTGCGCGGCCGTTTGACCCCATTTCGCGTCAAATATGCGGAGCACCCGCCCTTAGACCTGCGTGCGCTAATCAGATCCGGCTGTCTTTGCAGGGCTTCACCTGAGCTCGGGGTCCCCAAGGGAGGAGGAGCTGGCCGGGTGGCCAGCTCGGGGGCCGGGGGGTGGGGAGTTGGGGGAGGTCCTGAAATCCGCAATCTGGCTTTGGAGGGGGCTGCAGGGAGGCGGCCCGGCGCGCGGCTCCCGCGCAGCCGCCAGGTGCACGGTCTCGTCCGGGCCGGGAGGACGCCCCCTGGCGCCCCCGGGGCCGCGGGGAGCTTCGGGAGCAAGCGGGTGGCGAGCCTGTCGGCCGGATCTGGACGTCGGTCCAAAGCCGGGTGACTCCTGGGGTCTGCCAGCGCCGCGGCCTCCCGGAGCCCTCGCAGTGTGGCGCTGCCCGGCGGCAAGGGGGTGGTGGAATGAAGCTCAGTCATGACAGAAAACGAAGTCAGCAGGTCACCTGGCAGGTTCGGAGAGACTTATGCAACGAAAGCCCGGGAATGTGTAATGCATTTCGCCCCCCCCCTTTTTTTTTCTTTCTTAAGCTCCTAGTAATCCGGTTCCAGTTTAAGGGTTGGGCTGGGATCCACCAAGTGACTCCTCTGATGTGGTTATGACTTTGTTGAACTCCTCAAGAGAGATTCTCCCTCACCATCTTTCTTTAAACGATGGGAACATAACTCTGGGGGGTGGGGGAGAGTGTATAAAAAGAGGGAATGGCAGGTATGATCCAAAAGCAAGGGCGAAAATCATTCTGCAACTTCCACGAGGTTCTAGGTCGAGCAGAGTCAAAAATAACAAATACTGAAGCTCAGATTAAGTATCTGCATACATGCAATTCCCTATCTCTCCGGCCTCAGGAATAAGCCTTCAGAGTCTAAAGAGTTAAAACTGGCCATAGTTCGTTGTTTTTCATGCTAACATTTGCGGCATTAGGACTATTTGGTTAACTAGGTATATGCAATTCACAGAATTTCACGGTAAATTCCCCAGACCAAATATTTGGCTGAACAAATAAACAACATTATCCATTCCTGAAAATAAGCCAGTAGAAGGGGGAGGGTGGGGAAGGGTGGTTGCTAGAAAGTGACCTGAGCTGGGCAACCACCAGGCTCTGGACTCGCCCTGCCCTGGGATAATTTGTCCAAGTGCTAGCGATCTGCGGGTTCCTTTTCAATGACACGGGCATTTCAGAAAGTTGCTGGAAATCGGGCAAAACAAAACGAGGCCGCCTGAGGGGAACACATAATGGGCTTCCCCTAAATGATTTATTCGACCTCCATACCATTAATCAAAGGGGCAGCGACCTGGGGGGCTAAAGGAGGGGGAAGTATCCTTCTTTGCAGGGAGTTTGGAGGAATTGTGGAGTCTTGCTGCCTTTGCCTGGGGCTCTGATCTCCTCTCTCCACCTGTGCTCTCCAGGGAGCTGGGGCTTTGGCAACTGCTCCACTTCTATTTTTATTGGTTTCCACTAAGCTGCTCCTTTTGGAGGATTGCAGGACTTCAGTAATTAAAAACAAAAATGAAATCTGCTTTACCCCCCCCCTACATCCCGCCCCTCAGCACATGGAAGAGTACATGTAAATGAATAGTGTGTGGAAAGCACAAATGTCAGGGATATGCACACAGGCGTTCTCTCTCCTGGTGTACACACACCACCACTCACATCTATACCTTATTGATCAGAAATGCAACCCTCTAAGTCCTCCCCACACAGAGTATACAAAGGTATCACTTCTGTACCAAACCCATCCAAACCTGTACAGAAATGAGCCTAAAATTCCAGGGCTTAATTTAGTTGCTGATGGCAAGTAAGAAAAAGCTGAAGACTCTCCTCTGTTCCTTCTAGCCTTTCTATCCTTGTCATTCCAGAAAGTCATTTCTCTGCCTTGATGGTACAACCTTTAACTGAGGGAAACTGACTGCTCAAGTATCCTTTTCTACTTTGGCTAGAAATTGAACTTTTGCCTTGAAGAAACTCTGGCTCAGAACATCACATCCATCAGCTGTATCGCTTTCTGCCCAGCTTCAGAGAAGGAGGAAGGAGTGGAGGAACAGAGACAAAAGGAGAATTGGCATTCAACTCAAAAGATTCTATATATTCACATCATATTTGCGGGTCCCTCAGTGCCTACACTTAGAAATCCAACCTTTCAGTACCTAATTCCTATTGCCAGCTCCACTAAGCCCCATCTGCAGGAACTTGGAACTCAATGAAGAGCTTCATGTGAAGAATAGGAGACCAGGAAACAAGTTAAGAGCACGGGGGAATTCTACTGGGTGATATACTAAATAGTGGTCATCAAACTTTTTGAAGGTAAGGCACATTCTTGGATACACCCTTCTTTAAAAACTGTTTTAAAAATGCACATACATAACCACACAGTAATATGTGAGTGTGAAAATTAGTTTTGGTTTGAAAACACAACATTATACCTATAATAACTGGAGACACCCTGGGGTGTGATAAAAGCAGAGGTGGGAATCATTTCCCTAGAGTTGAGACTTGTTCACCACACTCAGCTGACACACCTCTAACAGGTGAGAAAATCAGAACATGTACAAGGAGCCTAAAACAACGTGCATCTTTAATCTGGCCTACTCCTTTCATCCCACTGTTTCTCTAAGGCATGTGTCATCCAGATGGGAGAGGATGCTGCGTCCTTGTTAACATTAAATAGAAATGGAAAACAATTCATCCTGGCAATTACCATAGCTCTACCATCAGTTTACTTCCTGTGCCTCCAACTTAACCACCTCCAGTTACCACCCTCTGACTTCCACCCTGCCTTGAGCACCACTTCAACAGAAACAAACCCAGTCAAAAAAGATAGGGCAAAAGGAAAAGTGAAAGGATTAAAGAGAAAAAGAACCTTGTTTACATTTAAAATAATGACTCATTTTATTTTTTTCTTTTAATACGTAGTTATAAATATATTTTGTCAAAATATATGATCAATATGGTCAAAACATTTGCACGTAAAGTCATAAATAAGGTCAAGGTGAATGTTTAGGGGTTTTTTTGCATTTTTTTTTTTTTTAAGATAAAAGTCCAGCTATAAGGAAGCAGTCTGTGTAGTGTGTGGGTGAGTGGATGAGAATGTGTGTGTGTGTGTGTGTGTGTGCATGCGTATCCCCAAGGACTGCCTGATCTCAGCGGCATCCACATCCCTCTACTACCATCTCCTGATAGTTTTTCAGTACCACCTTGTCATACTCATCCAGGTATAGCATGGAGATGGCACTCAGTTCAGTGGGAACACAACAGGCTTTGGGGATACTGGAATTGACGGAGTTGACCAGGGTCTGCACAATGGCATGGTTGGTCGAGTTGAGGTGGTCAGCCAGTGGAAAGGGGCAGTCCCCATGGCAGTAGAAGGCCTGGTAGCCTGGCGGGGCCACAATCCAGTCATTCCAGCCCACATCACTGAAGTCCACGTAGAGTGAATGGCGCCGGCAGTTCTTATTCTTCTTCCGGGCCCTCTGTGGGTGATGCTTGGGGCTACGCTTGGCCCTCCGGCGTCTGGTCAAAGCATGTCCCCTGCCATCATGGCCAAAAGTGACCAGGAGGGGCCGTAGCTGGGCCCAATCCCCACTCCCTTGAGGTAACGATCGGCTAATCCTGACATGCTGGCCTTGGTGGGTCCGTGTCTGATGGAGGTGAGTCACCTCAATGGCCAGCCCATAGTTAGGCTGCTTCTCCCGGGTCCAGCGAAGGACCGCAGGGCTCACATCAAAACTTTCCCACCGTGTCACATTGTGGTGGACCAGTCTCGTGTCCAGTAGTCGTGTGATGAGGTGCCCAGGCACCACTTCTGCCGGGGGCTTCATAACCTCATAAATGTTTATACGGTGGAAGCCCTGTTCCCAGTCGGGGCCCTGGTCCACCTGCTCCCGGAAGAGTCGAAGCTCGGCAGAGGAGATCACCTCGTTCTCCGGGATGCTGCTGAGGTTAAAGAGGAAACGAAAAGCAGAGTTTTCGCGGGTCCCTGGGATGTTCTCCAAATGTTCTAGGCACAGTTGGGGAGGAGAAGAAAAAAAAGAAGCACGTGAACTTGTGAGACATCAAAACATCAAGAAATAGCTCAAAGCTGGGTGATGGATGGTGGGTTCTGCTTATGCTGGAAATCTACCAGGGGAGAATCAGCATACCTTTTAATGTGAAGGAGCACATATATGGAGCAGCTAGCAAATCGAGAAAATTAGCTAGCATTCTGCAAGCACCAAAGACAGAAAGCATCTCCTTTATGTGTCTAATAATTTCCATGTGTCAACTCCTTACTCTACCACCACCAGACTCCCCTTTAAAGCCCTCTTGGCTTTGTGTACACAGTTTTCTTTACAAGTGGTTGTAAAGAAAAAGAGAGGCCCACAGAGCAGAGGCAGGAGGAAACACACACACACACACACCACCCCTCTTCTTCCAGTTTTGAGTATGTAACTAAACATTTCCCCAGCGATCTTGGAAACACAGAGCATGCCTTGTTGATCATGTTACAGAGAGGAAAATAAATTCCAACACAGTAATGATGCTGGTGGATTAATAACTCAGATTTACTTTGGAAAAGAAACATCCGCTAGGAAACATTCAGATCGGATTACAAGGCCCCTATTGAATAAACCTGACAAACACACAGCTGTAATATTAAATTCAGTAGGTGCTTTGAAAAAAAAAAAAAAAAAAACGAGCAGAAAAGGCTTTGATATAGCAAAAACACACCGCTGGGGCTAGCCCACGTCTGAGTGGTGTCACTCCCCTTCCCCAAACCCCTCCCCTCTGTCTCCAAAAAATAAATTCAGCCACAGCTCTGGAAATTCTTAGAGGTAAGCAGCCCTGTTCCCCAGACTCTTTTGGACTTGGGGCTTTGATGTAATCTGAACTCTTCCCCCTGACCAAGGCTTCTAGGGCCCCTCAGGCCAGCCCTATGAGCAACACCCCCCATCGCACCCCCCTCACCCCAGACTTGGGGCAGGGACTGACCTTCGTGGTGGAAGCTCCTCACGGTGTTGGCCCGGCTGGCGGGGCGTTCGGGGTACTCCAGACCAATGCTGTGGATCTGCTCTTCCTCCTCCTCCTCCCCAGACTGGAGCCGGTAAAGATCCCGCATGTAATCCGGGACGACGGCGCTCTTGCTCGGCTGCGGGCGGCGGCGCAGCCCGAACATCTGCAGAAGTGTAGCCTCGAAGTCCCGCAGGAGCTCATGGCTCTGCCCTGAGCGGCGTCCTCCCGCGTGGCCCTGAATCTCGGCGACTTTTTTCTTCCCAGTCTCAGGTATCAAACTAGCATGGCTCGCGCCTCCTAGCAGGACTTGGCATAATAAAACGACCATCAGCATTCGGTTACCAGGAATCATGGTGTCTCTGGGGAGGGGGAGGAGGTGGAAGGTTAAAGAATAAACAAACACCAGTAACCAGAGAGAAAGAGAGACGTCTCTGCATATGCATATAGGACTAGAAATAGAGGGGCAACATAGAAAACAGGTCAGAAGGATCAAGTTTGTGTCTTCTCTCTCACACCCCCCCACCGCCACCAGCTGCAGCCATGCACAGCCTGAAAGTAGGAATTGCCCTGTAATTACTTGGTCTAACTTGTTTACAGTCAAATAACCCCAAATCAGATAGCCTCCATCCTGTTAATCTTTTTTTGTCCCAACTGCTATCTGAGCCATGATCTCAGCTTGGCTTCTTCAAGGATAAACAGTTAACATTGAGGGGGGAAAAGGGGGTGGGGGAGGGAGAATTAAAATGCCATCGCTCTCCACTTCAGACCTTCAGCCTCTCCCTCTCTCCCTCCACTCCCCTCTCTTCCTCTACCCCCAGGAGCCCAGCTTCCACAGCTTCCAGCTGGGTCCGAGCAGGAGGGAAAGGAACGCAGGAAAGCTGGGGCAGGGCAGGGCGAAGACACAGGGAGGCTGGGTCCAGAGGCCGAGAAGGTGGTCTGGAAGCGGACCGAATGGCTGACGATTTACACTACTGTGGTTGATGAGTGTGAAATGCCCAGCCCTTTAAGAGTCTGGTCGCGCCCGCTCGCTCGCTCGCTCCCGGAGAAGGGGAGAGGGATTCCGGAGCGGCCTCGGTGAATTTTGACAAGCAGCTGGGACCTCGCCCCTGGGGCAGCGGGCGCTCCCCGGGCCAGCGGTGGTGGTGGTGGTGGTGGTGCGGGCGGTGGTTCGCCCGCAAGGTACAACCCCGGGCTGCGGACCTTTCATCTCCGCAGCCCCCTCGCGCTGCACTTTCCTGGAGCGCGCCCTGAGAGCGCCAGCGGTGGAGCCGACTGCGCTGGAAACGCAGCCGACCCGCTCAGGGCGCCGCGGCCGCTCCGCTAAGGAGAGCGCGACAGCGCGGCCAGAAAGCGGAGCGTGGACTCTGGAAGGAAGGTCCGACGGGAGGGACCCGAGGCGAGCAAGGGCGGGGAGGGTGGACTGAATTCCCGGGATGGGGGAAGGAAGAGGTGTCTACTCACTGACAGAAAACAAGGCATATAATAACAGTCCATGATTCTTGACAGCCAATCTTGAACAAACTCGCTGGAAAGGTTCAGAGGAGCTGCGGCAGTGCGTTGCTCTGGATGGCACTACGGAATGGCTCCTAAAATGAATATTTGAATATAATGAGACTCTGGCGCAGACGGGCTCTGTTTTTCTTCCAGCCCCTCCGAGTCACGTGAGGGCCGAGGCCCCGCCCCGCGCGCTGAGGAGCCCGCCCTCCCCGCGGCGGGCGGCGGCGAAAGGGCCCGCGCGCCCTCCCCCCGGCCCCGCCCCCTCCGGAGAGGCCAACCTCTCCGCCCGCCGCCCGCGCCGCCCCGGGTGCGGGAGGCGCTCCCGGCGGCGCTCGGCGGGGTGCTCCGCCGGTCCCCCGGCGCGGTGCGCTCGGTGCGCACGGACCTCGCCTCTACCTGCGGCGTCCGGGCGGGCCGCCCGCGCCAGGGGCCGGAGGCCGGGGTGTGGGGCGCGCCGTAAGGACCTTCAGCGCCCGTCGGGCTCGCGGGGGACCGAGCAGAGCCGTCTCAGCAGCTCGGCACCTCACCACCAAGGGGCACTTAGGAAGGAAAGCGCCGAGGGACCCACGTGCACGCGCGCGCGCCCTGCCCCTCCTCCCCGAGTCTGCGCCGGGCCAGATTCTGCTCCCGGCGACACTAGTCACCCCGCGGAGATCCCTGGCGAGAGCTCTCGGGTGAGCCGGGCGGCCGCCCCAGCCCCCGGCCGGAGGCTCCGACCCTGTCACGCGCCGGGCCCGAGAGGGACGCGGCTGGGCGGCGGGCGGTGTGGGAAGGCAGAGCGGGCGCTGCCGCCAGCCGCTCTCCCTGTCCCGTGCCGGGGAGATCGCCGCACCTCGCGGCGTCCTCCGCCGGCAAAGCAAATCCCGAAAGAAACCGGTCGGCGGGGCCGTTCCAAGCAGAGGGGCGGACTCAAAAAGAGGCGTCGCCGGGGAAAGGGCGCATCACATTTTTCGGGTCTTAATGTCGCCAGAGTTTTACAACTCCCGACCCGGCGCGGAAAGGAAATCCCTGCACGTCCCCGGCAGCGGGCAAGACCGGGAACCGCTTTCGCCGGCGCTGGACCTGAGTGTCTCAGCCTCCGGCTCTCTGTTCCTCCGCCCCCACCGTCTGCGCGTCCGTCTTAATTTTTAAACCACCACTCCTTCCCCCGCCGCTTCCTCCCCCAGCCCGTCCTCTGCACCAGCTGCAGAGGCGCAGCAAATACTTCTTTGCAAAAGTTGACCGACCACAGCTCAAGGCGTCTCGGGGATGTCCGAGCCCGAGATGCTGCGCGCACGGGTCGCTCCGCACGGGGCACAGCTGGAAAACACACTCCGCTCCGCTCCGCGTGCGTCCCCGCCCGCCCTGGGGCCCCGCGCCCCACGTCTCCGCCCCAAGGCCCACAGCACCCAGCCTTTCCTCCAGGGGCTGCTCCCCGCTCCTGCCCTGGGTCGCTGCGGAGATGGAGGGCTCGCGTCGCCTCTTCACGTTCTGCTCGAGAGCATTCGCGGGAAGCCCGGGAGGAAACCGAGCTCCCCGGGATCCAGCGCTCAGCCCCACGTCCCCGCCGCGGGTGCCCGGCGCCGCCCGACCCCGCGGGCCCGGGTGCGGAGGCCGCGGGCGCCCCTGAGCGACCGCCAGCGTCGGGGGAGAGCCGCGCGGCTTCTTTGAGCTGCTAAATTTAGGTTTTCCCGCTCCCGCGCCTCCGCGGGGGCTGACTGCGAAAGGGCTGGGAGAGCAAGGGTTTGGGGGTGTTCTTGTTTTGTTGTTTTTTTGGGTTTTTTTTTGTGAGAGTCTAAAACCCTAAAAAAGCTCCTTGGGAGGAGTTCCAGAAATGGGAAAAGCAGACAGAGAAGGGCCGGACCCCGCAGTGCGAAGGGACAGTGGAGGGGCCGGCGCCCGGCTTCTGCAGACAATCCTCTCCCCGAGGAGTCTCCCGGGGTGGCAGCGGGAAGGCGCGCCCCGCCAAGACCCAGAGGACCAGGGGAGAGCGGGTTGTTTCAATTTCGGATTCAGGAAAAACTCCGCGACGTTTTTCTCAACCAATTTTTTTACTTAAAAAAATCAAAAAAGTGGGAAAGAACTTTCGGCTTCAGAACTGTATTGGGGGGGGGCGGGACTGGGGGGAACGCAGCTTGCAGCGGTCGTCTTTTCCCCCCTGCCCAAGTCTTCTCCCAACGTTCAAGTTTACTCAGAGGCAGCCTCAGCTTACCAAGTACACGCCTTTGGTCATTTTATCTTCTCACAAAGGCTTCGGCCCGCAAGCCGCGATCCTCGAAAACCACCCACCTAAGCAGCTGCCAGAAGACCTCGGGGGCCGCGGGCCCAGCTCCCGCGGGGAGGGGGCTGCACAGACCCGGGAACCCCGACGGCCTCGCCGGTCGGCTCCGCGCGGCCGCGGTGCTTCTGGCCAGCGCCTCCCCGCAGGACACGACGCGCACCGCAGTTAGACGTGTCCCCAGAGCGTCCGGCGGCCCAGCCATCGTCGCGACAGGTCCCGCACCATCCAATGGTAAGAGAGGGGCTCTCCGGACGCCGCACGTCCACCAAAGTCGCCCGCGGAGGAGGCGCTTAGTGCAGCGGGCCGTCGCGCGCTCCCGTGGGCCTCCGCAGCTGGTGTCCGGGCCAGGCGACACTCCCCTCTACCCGCCCCCCCGAGAAAACAGAACTGTGCTTCCTACCGCCCACCGTTCCAGGTGAGGTGTCCTCACCTCCACATCCTTCAGCCCCCCCCCCCCTCGGCTCTCTCCCCCAGCCCTTCCGTCGGAGGATCGCAAATGTCAGGCCCCCCGCCCCCTGCAACGTGTTCAGCTCTAGATTCCAGTCTTTTCCAACGACTCCCTACCAAGGGCATCTCCTCTTACCTCTTCTCCAGACCCGAGCCTACCACGGGCTGAGATCGCCCAGCGCCGCTGGACAGAGAAAGTGACCTGGGTCTACAGAGGCGGCAGCGAAAATGGAAGTGTCTTTCGGCGCGAAGATCCATCCCTACCTCCACACCGCCACGGAGGGGGAACGCCACCTCTTGCCTTGACCACAACCTGAGGACCCCCCCCCCCACAACACACACACCTCTTCCCCAGGGATGCTCCGCGCCCGCTCTCCCCGGCACCCCTCGCCAGGTCACCTCGCTCACCATAGGTCCCTGTCGTAGCGGGCTCGCCAGCAGCAGCTCCAGGGGGCCTCCGAACCGCTGCAGGGGACCCGGGCGAGGGCTGTGCACTGGGGCGCTGCAAGCTCGAGACGGCGCCGACGGGAAGCCCATCGGGGAGAGAGAAGGACACTCAGCCGCGAGCGGCAGCGGCGTCGCGGGCTCCGGTCCCTCGGCTCGGCCGCCAAGCTCACCTCGCTCCCGGGCTGGCCTCCGCGCTCTTTCCCTCCCGCCCTCCGCTGCGCCCTGGCATCTTCTTCCTCCTCTTTGCTTCTCTCTTTCTTCCTTTCCTTCCACCTCCTCTTCCCCGTCCACCCCTCCCCGCTCCCCTCCGCCTGCGCTCGCCTCCCTTTCTGGGATGGGAGCCCCGCCCACATCCTCCCCTCCCGCCGCGGGGCCTGGCCTTGCAGGCCCGGGTCCCGGAAGCCCGGGCAGCGCCCGAGTCCGCAGCTGCCGCCCAGGCTGGGACGCCGCTGCCTCCAGCTCCGGGAAGCGGCCGGGGCTCACCTGGGACCACGCGCGAAGGTACTAGAAAGCATGCACCGACTAGTCGCCATACCTTCCAAAAATACCCATGAGAGTCTGGGCTTCCCTGAGTTTAGAGTAACTGCTGCCCAAACTGATGATTAAAACACTGAGTAATCACCATTTACCCCGAGTAATTAGAGATAATGAAACACCTCTAAAATCAGGTTATGGAGAAAGGAGCTGTTGGATTGGTTTAAAGGGTGGCCTTCCGTAAACTGTTCAAGGATTTCCAAACATTGAGAAACAGGCTATGTGCAGAGCTGTGTGCCCCAAAGAGGTACCTCTCTGGCTGCTAAAAGGTGACCTTCTTTACAAAACATTTTTAAAATGCTTCCTGTGGAAAGCCTTGGCGCTGGCCCTCAGAAAGCAGCCTCAATAAACAGGCTAGTTTTCCCTGTCGCCCTTTTGAGGACACAGGCAGCTTGGAGACAGACTGGGGTCACCATGCTTTACAGTTAGAAAAGCCTGTTTATAACTCAGAAACCCTCTTAAGAACTGCTATTTTAGTTCTTTTTGTTGTTCTCTTTGTTGGGTTTTTGGTTTGTTTATTTGTGGTGCACCTCGGAATAACTCACCTTCTGAGGAGGTAACCACCACAGCAGCATCAACCTTGTTGGTCACAGAGAAAAAGAAAAGGTACCTGGTCTGTTTTGCAAGGAAGAAGGGACGTGAGGCAGGCGTTGGCTCTTTCCTACAAGTGCTAGTAATCATATTAGCAGGGAGGTGGAATATGTGGCTTTTAAACCTTCCCAAACAAGAACTGTTTTCACAGAGCGCTCCTGATACAGTAGTGAGAGATCAGCAGCATCTCTCTTTTCATGAGCAAGCAAGAAAGACAGTGAAGTTAAAGGGACTTGCTCAGAGCCCAGAAGTGAATCACCACAGCCTCTGCCTTGCTGGGGAGTCCTGTGCTAAAAGCTGCCTGGCAGGGCTGAGGGTGGAAGACCTGAGCTCCAGGTTGCCTGGGGAGTGCTGGAGGACAGAGCATTTCCTGCCCTGATTTCTTTCCCTAGGACAGACATTGTGCTTCACTGTCTCAGCAAAGCATTTAGGTCTTTACTTAAATAGACAGTGACCTGGAGTAGCTCACCTGTAAAAACTTCACGTTTACGTGCCTCCAATATTTAGAAAACAGGAGCCACTTCCTGTATGGAACACAGGATACAAAGGATGGGAAGTGCATGAGATCAGAGAAGCAATGGTGAGAGAACACTGCTGCCTCCTGCCATGTATTTTCCAAGTTAGGTGTGTGAGATCTTTCAGCTCAGCAATGCATCCAACTGCATACACAAGATATGTGACTGTGGACAAGTCCTTTTACTCCTGTGGTCCTCCGTTTTCTCACCTACAGAATGAAAGGATTAGGTCAAATAATTTCCATGCCCCCCCCTTTCAATCTGAAAGTGATTCAATTATTTTATTGAAATGTTACATAATGTCTATGTTCTTTCATTTTAAGTCCTTCCTGAGCACACCTGCTCTAGAACCTCTGAATAAATGGGGAAAGGCAATACCACTACTGTGAAAGGATGACTGACCATTTTACCTCCAGCTCCCAACAGAATCAAAATTACATTAATTAATAATAACACAAAATTAAAACTCCAGTTAACAGTTACCTAATGTCCACTCGAGGCATAGGCAGTGTGTTCCTTCAGCACAGTGCCTGGAGTAAGGAAGGATTAAATGTTCACCAAGACCCCTAAATCAATCACTCTTGTTTTAATCATTAACAAAATGTGTTCCTTAATATTTAAGCTCAAAAACAATAGTGATGTGCTGAAAAGCAGTGCTTGAGTTTATTTTAAAGCACCAGAGAGTTGTTTCTTCCCCCTTTTTGACCCAAATATTTTGGGATGACAGCTATTATCTCATTTTGCTGAAACCCAGATAATACAGTAGCACCAGCCCACCCATGAGTCTGTGAAACTCACAGTCCAGGAGTTTCTAATTAAGCCACCTTGTTTAGACCCTGATATGAATCTTTAGCTATGTGGTGGGAAAAGCCAGCTTCAGTTCTCTTGGGACAGTGTTATTTCTAACCCACATTTAAAATGGGTATAAACCTTTGATTAGAAACTCCCTTTACCCACTCCTTTTCTCCTTTTTTCTTCTTCTTGCCCATGCCAAAAAATGAACTGCTTATTAGTTAGAGAGCTCAATCAGTTGCAGCCCAGTGATCAGAGTTGGGGAGGAGAATCAATTCATTCCTCTTCTCACTGCTAACTTATTTGTGAATCTTGGTGTTTTTATAGAACATAATATAGATGGACCAAATGGAACTAACCTAAGGCCTCAGACCCTCCGAAAGCGGTTCCAACAGCAATCTAGCTTCTGCGAGTCTTATTGCACATAGAGTAAAAGGAGAAATCCATCATAATTCCAGAGTAACTATTGCTCCTCTGCTGCTACTGCTGAATGTGCATTCATTTGTTGGGTTTTTCCTAGACAGCATCAAGAAAGAATAGCTGAACAAGCAGCTCATTGGACAGTTTTTCTCAAAGTACATTCTGAGACCATAAACTTCAGACCAACCTCTGGAGAGAGCTGGGATCAAGGCTGATTCATGTAGATTTCTTGGCCCTGCCTACCCCAGTTCTATACCCAGAAATCCACATATTTCACAGGATTCCCTTAGCACACTTAAGCATGAGAGTTATTTATAAAGTTATTTTGCTTACATGTTAAGGCTGATAGATACCACTAAAAGGCAAGGAATATGCTTAGTTTGTGCTTTAAAAACTGTTTAAACATGGTAATTATAGTATTTTCTATGCCAAGAAATAGGTCCATATACATACCAAATAGGTCTATATAAAGTGAAAAATTTTACTTATAGGACTTCAATTAAGAATCATATCAAGGCCCTCCCTGGTGGCACAAGGGGTTAAGTCTTAGCACAATGATGCTATCTGTAGCCTCTGCAGCATGAGTTCCATCCCAGCCAGGGAGCTGACCCACATGGCACAGCAGACCTCTCCTATCTTGCTCGCTGCTCCCCTCAGCAGTGAATTTCAGTCAGTCTGCCTATTCTGCTTCCCACTCTGTCTCTGGTGAATCCTCTCCTCCCACCTCTTCCTCCCACCTCTGGCCTATACTCCAGTTCTTAGATGCATAAATCAATCTTAAAAAAAAAAAAGAATCATATCAAGCCTTCAAACTTTGTCAGTTGTCTGTTGTAGCTATGGAGGTGTTCACTGAAGAAATTCCCATCATCCTTGCAGATTTTTCAGAAGCAGTAATAGAAATATACTGGAAATTGCTATTGCAAGGGCTCTCTGAAACTGGAAGGATTACTTGTTTTTCTTTTTTTAAATATTTACCATTTATTATACATTTTCATCTATTTGACATAACAACCCTCCTAAAACACCTGTTCCACAGATGAAAATCTGAAATTTAGGGAGAGCATATAAATTGCTGAAGGTCACTTTAGCTAGTAGGTGGTGGACCCCAAATAAGAGCATGTCAGTTTGTCTCCACATCCATATGCTTTGAGCTGGGCCTGCAGAGCGCTGAATCCCCAAGGCTAAAGCTTCTGACTAAACAGGTTTGCCCTGGAGGCTTTCCCAAGGCCTTGCTTGCTAGTGTAGAGAATTTCAGGATTTCTTGCTAGTTCTTAGAAGACAGAACAAAATCAAGACCCAGAAGCTTATTTTCTCCTGATCTTATTACAGTTCATTTTAGAGCAAGAATTTATGTGACTGTCCCAGAGAAAAGACTGAGATCTTGAGGAAGATCACAGCTTATCCCTGTTGGGTCTCAGGTTCCTCATTGTAAAATGTGAGGATTGATCATGTTCCTCAAAGGTCTTTCTCAAGCCCCAAAATGAGAAACAATGATCAAATGGAGCAAATTCCATTTGTTTTCCTCATTTATAAACTGAGTAACAATTTCCACTTTAAAATGTTCTTAGAAGCACTGAATGAGTTAATGTAATAAAATGACAGGTTCAATGTAGCTCAATACATACTAGCTATTACTATTGCTATATAATCCTTGGCAAAGGTAATGATTGAATGACCAGAGTAGGTGAAGAGTCTCTTGTATTGAGTTTTATTTAAAATTAGTGATAGGGGGCCTCCCTGATGGCTCAGCGGTTGAGCGTTGGGTTGCAAAGCTGCCCGCGACCTCTGCGGTGCTGGTTCGATCCCTGGCTGCTCCCCGGCCACTGGAGGAGGGTCCCACATGGGGCGCAGACCTCTCCTGCCTCCCCGCTGCTCCCCTCAGCAGTGTACTTCGGTCCTTCTGCCTGCTCTGCTCCCGCTCTGGCTCTGGTGAATTCTCTCACCCTCCCGCGCTTCTGACTGTACCCAGTGCATGTATAAACAAACAAACAAACAAACAAATAAATAAATAAAAATACATGCCTCTTTAAAAAAAATAAAAAATAAAATAAAATTAGAGATAGGGCCTCCCTGGTGGCGCAAGAGGTTAAGACACAATCTTACCCAGGATTCCACAGCCTCTGCAGCACGAGTTGGATACCCTGCCGGCCAGCCAGAGAGAAACCCACATGGCGAAGCAGACCTCTCCTGTCTTGCCCACTGCGCCCCTCGGCAGTGTATTTCAGTCAGTCTGCCTGTTCTGTTCCCCACTCTGTCTCTGGTGAATCATCTCACCACCACGCCCCACCCCCCTGCATCTCTGGCCTATACCCCAGCTCTTGTATGCATAAATAAATAAATATAAAAAAAATAAAATTAGTGATAAACTTTTAAAGGATGAGGTTTTATCTCATTTTTATATTTGTAATCAT